TTCTCCCCTGATGCATTTCATTTTAATTTGAAGTCAGACATTATTCAACTTTTACTTTTTTTTCATTACTTAAATTTAGAAAATCCATACTTGCATTTAAGAGAATTTGAGGAGGTGTGCAACAATTTGAGGAGGTCTGTAACATCTATAATCACTTAAATTGTAGCATGAACACTATTAGATTAAAGCTTTTTTCTTTTTTTATTAAAAGATAAAACTAAAACATGGTTATAAAATTTGAGACTAGGATCCATTCGTGATTGGGATGAAATGCAACAACAATTTTTAAAAGAGTTTTTCCCTTCTCATAGAACAAACTTTTTCAAAAGATAAATCACCACTTTCACAAAAAAACCAGGAGAAATGTTTTGCCAATGTTGGGATAGGTATCGAGACTTGTTTAATGCTTGCCCTTATCATAGTTTTAAAACATGAAGATTGATTTCATATTTTTATGAAAGGTTAACTCCTAAAGATAAGAAAATAATGAAATTAATGTTCAATGAAAATTTTAAAGACAAATACCATATTGAAATAATGGAGTACTTAGACTTGTTAGCTAAAAATGCTAAAAATTAGGACATTGCAGGTAGTTATGAGGCACCGGGTAAAACTCAACATCATACATCTAGTGGAGGTATGTACTACATTAAGATCATGATCTCCAAGCCAAGTTTGCATTTAGTTAGAAAAGTCTAGGTACTAGAATTAAAAAAGAGTGGTAAATTAAAATTTGTTCAAAACATTGTGTGTCAAATCTGTGAAACCAATGAACACTTAACCAATGACTATCCAACTTTGTCTTCTTTCAAGGAATGCCTCCATAAACAAGCCTATACTTTAAACAGTTTCTAAAGGCCCAATCATAACCCATACTTACAAACATATAAATCTGGTTGGAGAAATTACTCAAATTTCAATTAGAAGAATGATGCACAAACTTTACGGCCACCATTTCAAGTACATTGTAATTTCTAAAATTCTCATGGATATCCACCTCTTTATGCTCCACCTGCTAGAAAAAATCTTGATGAAATATTACATGTATTTATTGAAAAATAGGAGACAATCAACACTCAAAATGCTCAAACTATGGCAGATCTAAAAGATGCTCTTGCAAAACTCACATCTACTCTTAGTTTTCAAGAGAAAGGTAAGTTTTCATCTCACTCACAGCAAAATCCCAAAGCATAATACAATACAAATGCAAGTAGTTCTAGAAGCCAACATATGGATCAAGTCAGTAGTTCTAGAAGCTAACACATGGATCGAGTCAAATCAATTATCATTTTCTATAGTGGTAAAGTTATTGAAAAACTCATTCTTGAACCTTATGAGAAATATGATGAGTCTATCTTTCAGGGTAAGGAAGGGGTTGAATATGAGTATTCCAAAGAAAAGACTGATTTTCTGAAAGCACTTTCGTTTCCTTATTTCATGACCAAACAAAAGAAAGTCGATCACAACTCTAAAATCTTTGAAACTTTCAAACAGGTAAGGATCAATATACCTTTGCTGGATGCTATTAAATAGATTTCTTATGCTAAATTTTTAAAATATCTGTGCATTGTGAAGAGAAAACTAAATGACGAAAAGAAGGCCTTTTTAGCCGAACAAGTAAGTGTCATTCTTTAGAACAATAGTGCTTTGAAATATAAAGACCCTAGTTATGCTATAATTTCTTACTTTATTAAAGAACATAAAATTAAAAAAGTCTTACTTGATCTTGGAGCTAGTGTGAATTTACTTCCATATTCAGTTTTTTAGAGTCTTAATCCAGGTGAGTTAAAACCAACTTCTGTAACTCTCTTACTTGTTGATAGATCTAGAAAAGTGCCTAGAGAAATAGTTGAAGATGTGTTAGTAGAAGGCGATAAATTCATTTATCTTGTGGATTTTATTGTTTTGAATACACAACTTGTTGAAGCATGTAATTCATTTCTTATTTAAAGAAATTCATTTCTCGTAACTTCTAATGCATCGATTAATTGTAAGAATGGAGTGATGAAGCTATCATTTAGAAACATGACATTGAAGATTAATATTTTGAATATTTGTAAGCAACCTAGAGATGATAATGATTTACAAGAAGTAGATCTTATTAAAAAATTAGTTTATGATCAATTTGAATCTACCTTGGGTAAAACTAAGTTTGATAAATATAAAGAATTACAAATGATTTATTCTCAGGAAGAAATCAAGGACAAGAAAGGAACCTAAAATATTTATGCGGATCTTTTATCAAGATTGACAATAAATTCGACATCTGACATCACACCAATCGATGATTACTTTTAATCCTTACTTTCTCTTAGATCAATGCCTTGGTTAGCTAATTTTATTCAGGAGATTTACCAGCTCATTGGAATATCCAAGATAAAATTAAATTTTTAAATAAAGTGACTAACTTTTATTGGGATGACCCTTACTTATTAAAATATTATCCTGATCAAATATTTTGAAGTTGCATTCTTGACAATGAGGTAAGTAGTATCATTAAATTTTGTCATTCTAAGGCATGTAGAGGTCATTTCTCTTCAAGAAAGACAACTATAAAAATCTTACAATGTGAATTTTATTGGCCCACTATGTTCGAGGACACGCATGCATTCTGCAAACCTTGTGAAAATTATCAAAAAGTTGATATTGGTCAAAAAGTTTTGCTTTATAATTCTTAACTCTATTTATTTCTTGAAAAGCTAAGATTAAGATAGAGCGATTCATTTATTGAGAATCATTTATTGAGAAACATGTGTATCCTTATAGGGCCTTTGATATTGAGAATTCAAAGAATGACAATGCTTTTAAGGTAAATGGACATCGTTGGAAAGCTTACTTTGATAATTTTCTAGTGAAAATGAATTCATTGGTTTGAATGATTTTTTAGATAAAGGTTGATTATTTTGTTTTTTTTATTTTTTTTTATTTTTCCTTTTCTATTGTGACTCTTGTTTTGCTAGTCTCTCTCACCCCGGTCAAATAGTGAATAATGGTACTCCATGACTCTTAAGTTGGTTCTTTCAATTTCCCATGATAATTGATATATGTGTATATATTTGTATAATTCTTTGCTTTTTCTTCCTTCCTTGAATCTCTTCTCCAATTCTTATTCGTAAATGGATACCACTTTTGAAAAATTAAAAAAGTATTTTCTCGCTCTACCTCAAAATACAATCATAAAAATTTATAGTGCTAGGTGTGCAAGATTGAGGTTGTTAATGAACCATAGAATTCCTGAAGATATTCGTTAGATGATTAAAGCAAAGATTCGATTATTAGGTGAGTCTTCTAATTCTTTCATTTCATACTAGAACAGGTAAAAGCGTTTTTTGCAAAGAAACGTCATGCAAAACGACTTAAAGTCTTTCACAAATATGTCAGATGGACTTATAATACAACATGTCATTTTTTAGGAATGATATCTATAAAGCCTGAAGATAAAATACAATTCATTAAGAATGGCTTAAGTAAGGAGTCATTAGATAATCTTCTATTAACTTTTGAGATGTATCCTAGAGGAGAAATGCATCATGCAATTCATGATTTATGGCCATAATTCCATAAAGAATATGATTGACTTATTCTTAGAAATCTGACTATAAAAGACCCTGCTTGCCAATTTAAAAAAAAAAAAACTGGATGGGAAGCCTATCCCTAACCTATAGAAGGCGTTTAAACCATTCTTAGACGTAAAATCAATGGAAGATGTGAGCCACAATCACAACTACGATTTAAGCTTAAACGACCAAAAAATTGATGTCTTCTTCCAAGGGTAGGAGTGTCAAAGTAATAAATAACTCAGCAAGACCAGGGTTGAACCATAAGGAGGTTAATTGTATAAATAATGATGATGATGATGATGATGATAACAACAACAACAACAATGAGAATAATAATAATAATAATAAGTTAAAAAGGACTTTGAGATGTAAGATTAATGTGAAGATTAAATAATAAAAATAAATGTCAATGTCAGAGGATCCATTAATGGTATTTCAAACAAGTATAGTATAAACTCTTTTTATTACTCAACTCAAAACCACACACAAAGGAGATTCTAATCGAATTATAAATGGTTAACATGATTTCATTAGTTATCTAATTTGAATAATACTAGTACTTGTAAATGTTGTCAGGTATTCATGATTATAACTTATATTAACAACAAATCAAGTTTTTTTCATAGCACAAGTGTCGGTTACACCATACGGTTGGGCTATGAAAGTGCTAAATATTTGTTGTACCAAATATTATATAACATAAATCTAGATTAATCAATTAATAAGCAATGTATTAAGAGTGAACAAGAAAAAAAATACAAAACATATTAGTATCAAACATTGAAGTCCATGTTGAGTTTACACTATACTTATTCTTACACCATTAGTGTAACCTTTTCATATTGACATAATAAGCATATCTAAGTTAATGAAAGAGAGAAACATAAATGAATAAGATAAGAACATAAAAAAGATATAAGTTAACTAAGTAAAGGAAAGGAAATGAAAAACATAAATAAGAGATTAATATAAACAAAATTTTAGCATTACAATAAAGAAAGAGCAAGAACGTGATCTTGATTTGAAACCCAAGATGCCTAAATGCATGAAAAATACCTCCTTTTATAAGCCAAAATTAGAAACTATTAATTTGATGACTAATTGTTGAGTGGGTGGCCACATCTTGACTTGGTGACAATCTTTATCTTCTTGTCTGCTAAAAACATCATTGCTAATGTTAGATTTTGAACAAACTTAAATCATGAAAGTTCTATGAAATTGTCTCAGCTTTCCAAAAAAAAAATTAAGGTTATTTGGACTTCTAGAACTTGAGATATGGGCTAAAAACTAAACAGTGTCTAGGCTGTAGGACAGATTCAGACTTCTCCATTATTGCTAAGATTTGGACTTCTAAACAGCATAATTGAGTCTTTCCTTCCCATGAATATTTTAGGCCTATGTCTTAGCTTTCCATCCATATAGAGCAAATTTAAATCCAAGATCTACAACTATAAATATGATCCAATTACTGAATAATATTCCAGTTTGGACTAAACCATCATCTCTTTTCTAAGCTTCACACTCTCTTTGTCTTCTCAATTTCAATAGTTGAACTCATCAATCAATCCTTTAATTTATGTGATAGGCCTGCATTTAAGATGAACGTTTATCATAAATTAAACGTATCTTATAGTATCAGACTTGTTATTATAAAACATATTTTAGTTAAGGAGTTATTGATACTTCAAGTGCAAAATACTGATATAAAACCTTGATAAAAATATACTTTTAAGTACTAATCACAAGCCTTAGTTTGTAAAACATTATGTATTTTGGTTTTATTAATAGCATAATATTTATGTTTTGTTGTTTCTTATATTTTTTTAAATATGTTTCAGGTTTGGTAGTGTTCGTTATTTCAGGTGATGTCTTCTATACTCTATCTTTCTGCCTTAGGACATTAAGGACAATGTCTCATTTTGGTTGGGAGGAGAGAGTAGTAGTTAAAAAATTAAAATAATAACTAACTAACTACTTTTGTTTTTAATAAAACCATTTGACAAAATTGTTATTACTAGGATGACAGAGTAAGGAAGAATTTTGTTGACTCTTGAGACGCATCTTAGTAAATATTTTTTAATAGTTATTTGCGATATTTATAACAAGGTCTATTAGAATACTTATTGAAATATTTAGGTTTACAAACTCTCCATTGTTATCACTTAATTCTACTTATATACTCATTTAACAAGTATTCTTAAACCTTTATTTTTACACACATACACACACTAACATATGATTGTGAGTTGCATATTAGATTATTATATTATTTTTGTTCTTTTGTTAAAGGTAACAACTAAGGGAAATGGATAATATATAATTTGAAAAAAAAATAAATGTAAATAAATAAATAAATAAAAACATATATAAGTTTGGTTTCGTAGCCTCTTTAACCTAAGCAATTAAGTTTGAAGAGGTGTTTTAACACCTAATACCCTAAAGTCAACTGACTTGAGAGTTATTGACCTAACGCTTGTTATATAGGTTACGGAGAAAAGTTTAAGAGAATCAAGCATTGCACTATCGACGTATCAGTATCTACAATATTAAGCTAAAGTAGATATCTTAACACCTAATACCCTAAGACCAACTAGTCTGGGATTCATTAGCCTAAAGCTTATTATATGGGTTAAAGATGCATTGTGTTTTAAGTTATATGTATATATATTAAAAAAAAAAGATAATAATCTCAACTTAAGAAAGCTAACCTTAAATATTAGAACATAATATTGTTTTCTTCCAATAAAAGCCTCATTATCTATGTTTTCATACATTGAGCATATAAAAAGAAGGTTTATTAATATCTTATTTAAGAGGTATTAAGCAAATATATAAATTTAATGAGAGTTTGTTTATCTGAATCGATTAATGGAAGTTGAATGATGAATGCCTTACTTTGCAAATTGTTTTTCTATTTTAACGCTTTAATTACTAAGGACTAGTAATAAGCTGGTTGGAAGGTGTGAATAGTACTTAAAAGTGCATTTTTATCCAGGTTTTGTATCATTATTTTGCACTTGAAGTATCAATAACTCTTTAACTAAAATATTTTTTATAATAACAATTCTAATACTATTAAATACCTTTAATTTATGGTAAATATTCATCTTAAATGCAGGCCTATCACATAAATCAAAGGATTGATTAATGAGTTCAACTATTGAAATTAAGAAGACAAAGAGAGGGTGAAACTTAGAAAAGAGATGTTAGTTCAATACAAACTCGAACACTGTGCTGTCATTAGGTCATATTTGGAGTTGTAGAACTTGGATTTGGGTCTGCTTTATATGGATGGAAACTAAGACATAGGCCTAAAACATTCATAGGAATGCAAGATTCAATTTTTGCTGTTTGGAAGTCCAAATCATAACAACAATGGAGAAGTCTGAATTTATCCTGCAGCCTAAATATTGTTCAATGTTCAGCCCATATCTTGCGTTCTAGAAGTCCAAATGACCTTTATTTTTTTTTAGTTGGAAAACTGAGACAATTTCTTAGAACTTTTATGAATTAAGTCTCTTTAAATTCTGATACTAGCAATGAAGTTTTGTTTAGATAATAAGATAAGGATTGTCACAAAGTCAAGATTTGGCCACTCACTCAATAATTAATGAACAAATAAATAGTTTCTAATTTTGGCTTATAAAAAGAGGCATTTACCATGTATTTAGGCATCTTGGTTTTCAAATCAAAATTATGCTCTTTATTTCTTTCTTTATATTTTTGTAATGCTTAAGTTTTGCTTTCATTACTCTATTGTTTGTACTTTTCATTTCCTTTCCTTTACTTAGTTAACTTATATCTTATTTATGTTCTTATCTTGTTTATTTATGTTTTTCTTCTTCATTATGTTTAGCTAAGTTTATTATGTCAAAGTGAAAAGGTTACACTAATGATGTAAGAATAAGTATACTATAAACTCAACATGGACTTTAATGTTTGATACTAACATGTTTTGTATTTGTTATCTTGTTCACTATTAATACTCTGCTTGTTAAATGGTTAATCTAGATTTATATTCTATAACACTTTGTACAACAAATACTTGACACTTTCATAGCCCATATTGTATGGTATAACCGACAGCTGAGCTATGAAAGGAACTTGATTTGTTATTAACATAAGTTATAATCATGAATGTCTGACAACATTTACAATCTTAAAGTCCTATTTGACGTATTATTATTATTATTATTATTATTATTTGTTGTTATTGTTGTTGCTTATAATTTATATAGTTGACTTCCCTGTGGTTCGACCCTGGTCTTGCCAGGTTATTTATTACATTGACACTTCTATGCTTAGAAGAAGACATCATTCTTTTGATCGTGTCACACACCAATCCAGAAGTTAAATTGACAATAAAGACTAAATAACACCAAATAAAAGGCAAAGAGAGATAAGATATGGAAGATTAAAGCACAATGACAGATCAAATGGAAACAAAGTTACATAAATCATACTTGACAACCTTTAACTCTAACCTAGGCATTCAAAAACTAAAAAGGATCGATTGATCCAAGAGAGGCAATTAATGAATAAATAAATGGCATAACACAATTAAATATAAGTCCTTGCTTTTATCGAAATACATAAAACAAACCAAAAGATCAATTGGTGGGACATTGAAATCTACAACTATGAATGTTCAAAAGAAAACCTAGGTAAAAAAATGCATAATTTGCTTTAAATCCAGAATTTAGGCTAAACCTCGAAAGACAAACATAAACCTATCAAAACCAACCCCAATCATGCTTAAGCTAGCTTGTTTTAAAAATATTAAAAAAACCAAATGAGAAAATAGTCACATTATCAATAGAAAACTAGAAATACATTCTTAAGATATTTGAACATTGTTCTTTACATTAGTTTTAACATTAGTTTTTTTTTCATCATTTTTAAACATGTAAAATAGCTTAACTAAACTTAACATCATATAAAAATAAAAATTAGGAGCATGGTCTTCATAATTCAAACATTAATACACTAATCCAAAATAAATCCAAACGATTAACCTAAACTTCAAAACACTAAAATTGACATTCAAACATGTTAATTGCATTACATCAACAATCTTAAATCATCAAGCCATTCATTTAAAATTTTCTTCAACATATATTCTAAAATAAGTATAATGGTTTAAAACATGACTAGACTTATTAAAACACATATATTTAAAAACTAACAATTAGTTATAGAAAACAAAACAATAATCATTCAAACAAGAAAATTAAAAGGCATTGAAGGTGTGTGCTTATTTAGCTACACCCCCGCATTAAAGGTAAATATATACCTTTCAAACACACAACTTTCTTCTTTTTTTTTTTTTTTAGTTTATTGTTTATTTTGTCTTGTTCTTACTCATCAAAGATAAGTATATAACTTTCAAACACACTATTACCTTCCTCTCTTTTTTTTTAGTTTATTGCTTCTTTCCTTATGTTTTTAGCTTCCAATCTCTGGTTGTATTGATCTTCTTCTTTCTTTTTATTTTCTCCCTACCTTTCATATTATTTCTTGTGTTTTGCTCTTAACAAATCTACTATTTTTCCTTAGTTTTCTCTTGTGATTTTCTTTTGTATTTTCTATATCTTTTATCTTTGATCCTAGACTTCCTCCTCTACACAAAAGAACATGTCTTTTTTATATGCATTTCAAACAAAAAGTTGCAAAACCATGGTCATTTTGCTAAGAGGTTTTATTGAATATTCTTATTCTTTATTTTCCAAAACCTTCCTCTCTAAAATTTATATTGTTGGGTCTTATGTTTTCCTTTTGTAAACTGAAATCAAACATGAGAAAGCATTTTTAAAGTCTTTTATATAATGGTGAATTTTTTTTTTCAGTCATTGATGATTAGTTGGGTGCTTTATCAAGATCATTATGGAGATTGAGATATAAATGTATCATTTATAGACCTAAGTCTTGTAAATGGTATGTAGATCTATTATTAGAAACAAACCGCACTTAATTTGGAGGTCTAAAACTCCACATTCATTTATTAAAAAGTTGGCCCTTGATCATCTTAAATCTGCCAATATAGGAAAGGTTAACTAGGGACAAAATGTTATCAAAATTTTCATGCCAAATAAGGTACCAATGTTTGATAATAATACTTGATCCTTGGAGAGAAAGTTCTTAGTCTATTGGTGTTGATTAGAGTCTCTTAGGTGATCGAAGATGCCACGTTTATTTGTCTAAAAGTGGCATCTCGATTGGTCATTTAGCTAAAGAAAAAGAAGACATAGTGATTAAGTGTTTAGCTAAAGAAAAAGAAGACATAGTGACTAAATGAGGAGTTGCTCATTTATTCATTAAAATCTGAATAACATGTCATTTGTCTAAACTCTAAAATTATGGTTTTTATAAAGGATTTTGGGAAATTTTAATTTAGTTCTTGTTCTTCCACTTTCAACGCATACACCATTAATTGACCAAAAAGCTTTCTAAT